ATACATATATACATAAAACTTTTAAAAGAGTAAGTATTGTACTTTCCACTGGGAATTAAAGAGTTTCTAAATAGGGAAGTGATGACATTATATTACATGCTTGAAAATCAAATGTGTAGAGATATATATACATGCAGATATACCTGTTTACGATGTTATTACAAAATTTCAGTGTGAAGTGAAGAGGGCCTCAACTAATGACATGACAGCTGAAATAAAAGGAAACCTAATGGGAAATGTTTTGGTTATCTACTAGGGGAATGAGTTAGATTTATATACCAGGTCACTCCAGTCTTTGTGGTTTGAACAGCTAGATGTATTATATCAACATTAACTATTTTGGAAAAATCAGCAGCAGATTTGGAGAGCTAGAAATCAGAAAACATATTAATATTAGCTACCCATCACTAACAATGTTTAGAAAGAACATAATTCATTTCTTTTCAGGGTGTCCCTAATTTTAGGAACATAATACAGATAATAAAAAGACAAAAATACTTTAAATATTTTTATAAAAAGATGTGTTCCATTTTTGATATTATGGCATAATGCATTTATTGGTCCAGGTAGGTAAAGTGGATACAAGCAATGAAAAAGATACCTGGACTGCTGAAAGGAAGGAATTTGCTGAGTTAGAACAGAGTGAAAGCATATGATTATTTTTGAAAGACTATTAGAAGAACCTGTCCTCATGCTGTCATGTTTCTGCTATAATAAAATATTGCTCTATCAAGTCCTATTAGGCATTTTAGCTTCACTTTTCCTACTTCTGATGTTGTAAAGGTAGGACGTTGCTTGTTAAACACATACAATTTTTTGCATGCCAATTCACTATTTTCTCTGTAAGCATAAAAAGGGAAATTAACACTTAAAAAAACATTATTGTTATTATTATTTCATTGTTTTTCTTATTAAGCTGGCATGAAGCAAAACATCATTTATGGAGCATAAGAAAATTTGAAGTTTTAATATTTTATTTTCAAAAGAAGTAATTTTGGCAAAGATTATTTAACCTTTAAAGGGTACTTTCATATTATCGGAAATTTCCAATGACTTGAATAAAATAAGGAATACTTGGAAATTATAGATTTCATTATTTACACTTAGAGAATAAAATTTTAGCTTAAATTTTAGCAAGATTAGACTCTCTATTTTCACACTTCTAACAAAATATTTTTGAAATCAATTTTGCATTCCTATATGTTTAAGAAATAAATATTTAATACAAAATAGTCCAAAAAAGACTATCCAGTATTAATTATCTTACCTTTTGGTGTATAAGCTTTAATATCTACACTGATATATATTTTTTAAATTATGATCAACATGTTTTGATGACTCTATTCTTTATATCATTTTTCCAGGAAGGAGATTGAAATTATTATTTTGAATCAGTAAATCTAAATCTTATTCTATTTAAAAAATATGCCAAAATTTATTTAACCATTCTCTTTAAGAGTGACATGTAGAAGAGTGCCTGGGTGGCTCAGTGGGTTAAATATCTGACTCTTGATTTTGGCTCAGGTCATGATCTCAGGGTTGTTAGATCCAGCTGCTGGGCATGGAGCCTGCTTAAGATTCTCTCTCTCCTCTTCCACCCCTCTCCAATTCTGTCTCTTTGTCAAATGAAAAATTTAAAAAAATAAAATAAAATAAAAATAAATAAAAATTTGAAGAGAGAGTGACATGTAGAAGTTGCATCCAATATTCGGATATTTTAGACTTTGTCAAGAAGATCATCTTGATATATAATTTATGGTTTATTTGTTCAAATCTTTATTTTGCATTTCTTGAAGGAAATTCCTATATATATATATATTCTGGGAAAAAGATGTTGATTTGCTCTTATACTGACTGTGAATGATTTTGTCCATTTTTTACCTCTTTTACAACATAAGCCTATTTCAGTTGTTTAGATTGTGGAAACAATGTAGACACAGTCTTGAATCCATTATGAATAAGCATATACATTATGTCCCACAGACAGAAAACAAAATGAAACAAAACACTTTGCACTGAGATAAACTATAAATAATTGGGTCATTCTGTTTAGTTGTAAGCTCCAAACTCAATAAAATCCCAGGCATTTTCCATACACTGTCAGTTCTGTAATGAAAAATACTCTATCTTTGATTTTTACAGAGCTCTTATCTGAAGAAAAGCCTTACCTTTGTGGACATGATGATGACAATGTGAGAAAATTGGTGTTTTTTGTTTTTAATCTTAAACAAGCTAACTATAAACTCATTATATTTGACAATTCTGCTGTGCTTTAATTATTTTTGTCAATGATTGTTTTCTTTTTAATTTGAAGACAAGCGGTTTTACCTTTTATATTTTTAAAGTTTATTATTTATTTATTTGTTTGTTTGTTTGTTTGTTTATGGGGTGGGGAGGAGCAGAGGGAGAGGAGTAAGCAGACTCCACACTGAGTGTGTAGCCTATCAAGGTGCTCGATCTCATAACCCTGAGATCATGACCTGAGCCAAAATCAAGAGTCAGACACATAACTGACTAAGCCACTCAGATACCCCAATGACAAGTGCTTTTAATGCTTGAACTTCTTTTCCAATTTTTTTAAAGTAAACTTTTTTAAATACATGTTTTGGTCTCTGCATCTTTCTTTCACAGATGTTTGTCCATCTCATAGTTCAAAAAAAATGATTTTTTTAGTGTTTAAAGCAGCTTACATATTTAATTACTAGGCATTTCAACATCTTTTTTTATATAGATCAGTGCTACATTGGTATTTCCTGTTTTCAAATGTCTTTTACATATCTTTAACCCTGTTCCTACTGAGTGTTTTATTTTCTAACTGATAACATTGGTTTCCTTTACATGAAATCTGTTGTTATCTGCCACATATGACATCAATTTTGTTTTGCTTTTTATGCTAATCGTTTAAAATATTTTTTTGTAGTCAAATCCATCATTACATTTTCTTGCAATGTTTTGTGCTTTAAAAAAACAAGCCATTTTAACCCCCTAAATTTGAAACATATTTGTCTATAGATTTTATTTTTAATATTTAAATTATTTACTTATTTGGCTTTCAGCCCAAGGATAACTGGTTTCAAATACCAAGGTCTGGACAAGTTCGGTGTTCTTTGAGGCTTACTACCTCACTTTTAAAAGGATGTTGATAGCTTCCAACTCCTAGGTGTTCTTAGGGATTAAATTAGATAATGCATATAAATGGTTTGAGATCCTTCTTGTTGATAGTATATAATGAATAATGAGGAGGAGGATTTGGTTCATACATAATAAGAATGTACATAGGTATATGTAGATTGTGTATGGATGGACCAAAAACTCTATAATTTACCAAAAACTTATTTAAATGAAGAAATTTAATTCTTAGGACAATCAAGATGTGCATGTCAAAACACATATGAATAAGGCTTGATAGTAATTTTGTTAAATTGCTTTCAGTCTCATTTGGAATAGAATCGTAAATGAAGCATACCCAGTACTCACGAATACCTGGTATACAGAGAAACTTCTTGTGCATGAGAGCGACTTTGGAGTTTTAAGTCTTTGTTCTACTACCCTTTTTAATGGAATGATACGATATATAATGAATGGTTAACAGTGATGGCAGATCAACAGGCAAAGATAAACACAAAAATGATACAAGACAGAGTGTTCCTGCTCAATATCGTCCAAGTAGTTGCAGATTTAGATTGCTTCTAGGCATCCAGGCATCTGAGCTATCACCAGGAATATCTAAATTGCTTTCTCACAGGTTCTACAAAGCACTCTCTTTACTTTATCTACTCATTTTAGATGGCACCTCATTGAATTTCTCTTAGCCAATTTACTTTCTGCAAAGCTCACATTTCTCTTACAATAGAGAAATTTCTTTAGCTCTACTCTTTTAACTTTAGCTTAATAGCATGGGGGCTTTCGTTAAGTTTCACTGTCAGCAGAACAGCACAAATTTAACATTTACGTGATCCATTTCTACTAAATAAAAAAAGGGGAAAGTGTTATGCCAAGGGCAATGTGGGTATTAATTTTCTCTATGGTTTATACAATTACTTGAATGCATCCCTAAAGAAAACTAATATATTGATCAAACCTGATTAGCTCTAATTTACATAAAACTGTCATAGCATGAGTTTCTTGTATGCTTTAGAAAAACAAAAGGTTTCAGTGAAAAAAAAAGCCATGGGAATTTAGAATTCAGACTCATCTGGCATACAAAATATCTAAAGTTTGAGTAATATGAGACCAAAATTCTAATCTTATTATAAGAAAATTATTTAATGACAAAATAATATTAAATTTGAATTGTTTTTAAATTGTTATATAACACATTTTTTAAATATAAGTATCCATATTTCAGTTTTTAAACAAATGGAAAAATAGAAATAAAAAAAAATTCACCAAATACCATTCTCAAAGATAAAGAGTAAGAATATTACCCTGGTGAATCTTCTTCCAGACTTTACCTATGCACACACACATGCACACACACATGCATATGCAATGTCTGTTCCACTCATTCAGTTTTATAATTTCTTTTTTCATTTAACATGAACTCATTAAGATGTTCTCTTGTCATTTTTTCATGCAAAAAATATTTACCTAGCAAATATCATTTGCCACAACAATGCTGCTTATGTTATAAGCAAAAATGTACAGAACAGCAAATTAGTCCCTTGTGGAATTTATATTCTGATTGAACAGACAGTTAATGAACAAGAACAATTGAAGAAATAACTAAAAAAAATATATTTTTGTATATTTACATGGGCATAATTACAAATAATGAAGAAACCTATAAATAAAAGATAATCAAGACCTGAATGGAATAGATTCAAAATTAAGGTAACTAAAGATAATATTTTCTAGGTGACATTTATGCTGAACTTTGAAATAGTATGTAATGGCAAACATGCTGTGTCGCATAAGAGTAATCTAAGCCAAAGGAAGCAAGCATGAAGGTCCTACATAGCAAAGTTTATTTAGAAAAAGCAAAACAATATACCAGTTCCACTGCACATGGGTAGAGGTTGGAGTTGAGGCCACTGGCTGGCTGATGACTCACAAGTGTAGGTTGTGCGCTACATGAGAGGCAAGTTTTTTGCTAACACCACAAGGGTCTCTGGTCCAATGAGTAGAGTTTAGTGGCAAGTCTTGCTACAGTTAAAGAAAGAAGAAAGAAAGAGAAAGAAGAAAGAAGGAAGGAAGAAAGAAAGAAAGAGAAAAAAGAAAAAAGAAAAAGAAAGAAAGAAAGGAAGAAAGGAAGGAAGGAAGAAAGAAAAAGACCAAAGAGCCTCTTCCCATTCTAGGCCTTAAGAATTTAGGACTACCATTCTCCCTCATGAATCCATTTGTCATGTAAGATGTTGAACTGCCCTAAGAGCATGACACCAAGAGGAAGCTCCAGCTAGCCACAAGGAGAGACCATATGGAGGAAGACTGAAACATCAGACATAAAAGCAAAGCTATCTGTGATGTTCCATTCCAGCTCAGTCACCAGCTGACTGCAGCTAATTGAAGCGCCCCAGCTAATAAGATATAAAACATAACTACCCAGTCAATCCTTGCTCAAATTCCTGACAAACCAGTTTATAAAAAGTAATAAAATAATTGTTTTATGCCACTTAATCTGGGGGTGGTTAGTTACACAGAAATAAAGGCAAGAGTAAACCTATACAGGCAGACCTTATTGCACTGCACTTTACTGTGCCTTGTGGATATTGATTTGTTTTTTGTAGCAATCTTGCATGAAACAAGTCTAAAGGCATCATTTTTTTTTATATATATACCATTTGCTCACTTCCTGTCTCTGTGTTGCATTGTGGTAATTTTTGCAGTATGTCAAGCTTTTTTACTATTATTATGTCTGTTATGGTGACTTGTAATCAGTGATTATGACTCCCTCAGACTATGGTTAGCATTTCTTAGCAATAAAGTATTTTTTTAAATTAGGGTATTTTTTAGACATAATGCTATTGTACACTTAATAGACTACAGTATAGTGTAAACATAAATTTATATGCAGTAGGAAACAAAAACCACTTGACTCACTTTTTTTAATAAAGATTTTATTTATTTATTCATGAGCGACACAGAGAGAGAGAGAGAGAGGGAGAGACACAGGCAGAGGGAGAAGCAGGCTCCATGTGGGGAGCCTGATATGGGATTCGATCCCAGGTCTCCAGGATCAGGCCCTGGGCCGAAGGCAACGCTAAAGCGCTGAGCCACCAGGGCTGCCCCATTTGACTCACTTTATTGTGATAATCTTTATTGCAGTGGTATGGGACAGAATACACAGGATTTCCATGGTAGGCTTACTTTATAATATAATGTTATGTAACAACATAAAATAAAATTATACAGCATACTATACTTTACCATAAAATACTTTCAGACAGTGAGATTATTTGTTCATCTAAGAAAATATGACCTATTTACAAATATGATCTATTTATCATGCATGTTTCTTTTATAATAATACAATTTTGCTCTTAGAAAATTTATATTAGCACAAAATCGCTATTAGCAAAATGAGCTTAAAGACATAGATGGTTTAACTTAATATCAAAATTAATTTTTTTCTACAAATTTTCCTAAAGTTCTATTAAAGTAAGTTTAGAGTAGCTAAACATTAAGTTACAGTGAGTAGCAATACAGTTTAAATATATCCATTATTTGAGTTGACTTAGTTTTGCCAAAGAGACGTGGCCTTTAGTCTTCTGTTAATAGCAATACGATTTTAAGTTCAGAACCTCTTACATATTTATATTTACCTTCATGGTCTTTTGCAGTGAATGTCATTTTATGAACAAGTGTTGGGAAATATAATTGAAAAGTTGTGACCGCCAGTTGACCTGTGAGCTGGACCACAGCACTCAGAGGCTCCTCATCCCCTCCCCTGTCCTTGGACTGGGTTTCCTCACCTTTTCTGCTCCCAGAGACTGCTCCAAGGACATAGCTTTGAGATGATGATGTGGTGTTGAGAACACTCACACTTGCACTGGAAGCTCTTGAGTGTTTTGCTAACCAATAAGTAAAATAGCTGGAAATTACTTTTTCTCTGCATATTTAGTATTACTTAATTTCCTTTCATGACTATATGTAATACAGAGTTGTTTCAATGAGATTTCTGAAGATAAATATAATTAATACCATGAAAACTCAGTAACAAGAGAATTCCATATGCTAGCTGACAACGGGAACTCCTAGTGACATCAATTGGACATGTGACACTACAGATATGTGGCAGACAAACTCTACATGCCCCCCGGTGACATCTGGCTTCTGATGTTCATGCTGGTGTAATCCCCTCTTACTGAGTGTAATTTGGTCCCATGACTTGCTCCTAACCCATAGAATACAGCAATGGATTCTTTCCTATGATTAGGTTACACTGTAAGGCAAAAGTGATAGGATATCACTGCTGTGATCATGTTATATGAATTCTCGGCTCACTAAAACTACTCTTGCTCTCTGCTGCCTCTGAAGAAACAAGCAGAGAGGTTGTGAGCTGCCTATGGAGAGGCCTCCATGGCAAAGAATCATAGGCCACCTACTAAAGCTTAGTCTCACTACCACAAGGAATTCCGTTAACAATTGGAATGATCTGGGTAGGAGACTCTTCTTCAGTTGAGCCTCCAGATGGGAATATCACCATGACTGTGAGAGCCTGAGCAAAGGATACAGCTAATTTGTGCCTGGATTCTGACCCATGGAAACTGAGAGAAAATAAATATGTTTTAAGTACTAAGTTTCTGATAATGTGCTATGCAGCTCCAGAAAACTGACATGTGATACACCTTTGTTTAGACAAGTGCTGTTTGGGAGAAATAAAACTCGAGCCATATATGTTATTTTAAAAATAATTTTAAAAAAGAAAAAAATAATTTGAACAATATATTTCATTTATATTTTATATTTGTGGTGGTTTATATATTTATATAGCACAAACGATACTATATAAATTATTCTGACTATAATAGTCAATATATAATATATCATGTTTAGTATTATTCATATACTATGCATTTATATTTTATTTTACCCAACATAGTCAAAAAATTATCATTTTAATATGTAATCAATATAATGTCATATACATACATTTTTTTCTTTTTTTTAAGTTCTTTTTTTTAAGATTTTATTTATTTATTCATAGAGACAGAGAGAGAGAGAGAGAGAGAGAGAGAGGCAGAGACACAGGCAGAGGGAGAAGCAGGCATCATACAGAGAGCCTGATGTGGGACGAGAGCCTGACATGGGACTCGATCCAGGATCTCCAGGATCACGCCCTGGGCTGCAGGCGGCGCTAAACTGCTGCTCCACGGGGGCTGCCCTATACACATTTTTCATATCAAAACTTCAAAATCCAGTGTGTACTCATACACAACATATATCAATTCAGATTCTATATTTTTATCATAAATAATTAATCTGTATTTAGGTTTTATAAAACATACCTAAAGGTTTTTTATATTAGTTTTTAAATTTAAGTTAATAAAATATTTAATTATTTGATGAACATTTTATAATTTATATAAATGTTGAATCACTGTTGTAGAACAGAAACTAATATAGTATTATATGTCAATTATACTTCAATTTAAAAAAAGAAATAGTTCATTATAATCATATAAAATTGCAAATTCTGTTCATCACACATCAGACATAATTTTAGTACTCTAGCTACATTAGGTGGTGGCTACTAGCTACCATATTGAATGGGGAAGAGTTAGAATATGGATTTCATGGCCTTTTGTTCTTTGCCTATGTTTACATTTCACATTTAAAGTAATTGTTCTACATTTTATGAAATCTAACAGTCAAAAGGGGTACTTCTTTTCAATGCAGTTTACCAGGACACCACCCACTCACCTCATTCTGATTCAGATTAGTAATTGGATTAGATATTGAAGATGTGAGTTGTCCACAAATCACACTTTGAGAAAGCAACGGTGATGAAATTCATGGGGAACAAAGGTGGGGTGAGTAGAGATCCTTTGCCTTAATGCCTAGAGCTCATGTGGGCATCATCTCTTCCATCCATTTTTGGCTTATAAAAAGCATTTTAGCCCTACAACCATATTGCTGGAAAATTAAAAGAAAACTTACAGAAACAAATCCTCAAAAGGAGACTGTGCCCATATCTTGTGCAGAAAAAGGACACCCTTTAACTTACCCCAGCTTTAATGGAAATATATTAGTAAAGAGGAACTCTGAGCGGCTCCTAGGGTTTGGAATATGCCCACATCACTGCTTTTTTTTTTTTTAATTTTTTTTAAATTTATTTATGATAGTCACAGAGAGAGAGAGAGAGGGAGAGACACAGGCAGAGGGAGAGGCAGGCTCCACGCACCAGGAGCCCGACGTGGGATTCGATCCCGGGTCTCCAGGATCACGCCCTGGGCCAAAGGCAGGCGCCAAACCGCTGCGCCACCCAGGGATCCCACCCCACATCACTGCTTATCCCTATTTCCGTTACTTTCATTTTCAAGTTACCATTCATCCATTTGACAAAAGTAAATGTAGAGCACAGCTTCATTCTTAGCTTTATGTTATTCTTTATTTATATCTCAATCCTAATCTCTTAGGATCTCATCTACATCTAAAATTTCTGCTACCACTTCTATTTTTTTCACCATCATTGCTTTGTTATTCACACACGACTTCTTATAAACTTCCATGTTAATTCTCTGATTGCTAATTCCACTTATTTTCTTGCTTTAACTGGCCTTTATTATGCCTCTGCATAAAATGGCACCTCATAGTTTTTAGGAAAATTTTAAACTCCCTTGTATAATTCACAAAACCACTTATGGCAGAAACCTCCCTTATCTCTCTGACTTCATTGTTCTTTGTCTTTTGCTGTGCCTGCTACATATCATGTGTACAAAAAGTGCAGAAAGTATATTTGTTTTCTTAAAAATCAGAGAACACACTTTTTCCATTTTACTTTTATTGATATTTCAACTATTTACTTAAAATTAACCAAGAAATTGACCTGAAAATGGCAAATATCTGACCCTACTCTTTATGAAGTTATTTACAAATCTACATTATGTAAATAAAATTATCATTGCTATTATCTTAACATAATAAGCCAAATATTTAAAACAATTTTCATCAGAGTGTTTTAAAAAGCTAATTATTATTATTATTATTATTA